TCAAAATTTTGTAAATCTTATTTCTCATAGAATGCCAGAAAACTTCCTAAATTAATAGCTGTCTTTTATTTGTTTACAAATATATACAATTATGCGATACAATTGGATATTGTGCATAAAAAATATTGATTTACTAATTAATGTTTTTTTCTCATTTAATCTATATATGTTTTCAAAGCAAAATCTAAGTAAAATACATATCCCAATCGTTTTATTATGTTTTTAACAAAACTTTTCAGTTTTGTTAAAAAACTAAAGAGATTTCCTTATGTTTTATAACATATGTATTACTATGTATTATAACATAGTATGAATTATTGAGAAAGTTTATCCCATGCAACATTTCAATATCTCGAAGAAAATATAATCCATAAGTCTGTAATTCTACCATTTTGCCTTTTTCTCAAAAAAGGTTGCTTACAAAATGGTGGAATTGCAGACTTATGAATTATACTTTTGTCAAGAGTATAATCCTTATTGATGAATCGACCGTTATTGACGAATCGAATTGCAGGCAAAATGTCTGACGGCATATCATTAAATTTCAGAAAATGACGAAAAGAAATTCTTACATTCGAATTTTTCATTAAAAAGAATGTTTAGTAAAATAATTGTATTTTTCATTTCTATATTAGAATTTACATTGTAGATCGACAAATAAATAAAAATAAAATTATATACAACTGATATTGATAAATGAGAAAAAAATATAATTAGTCTTAAGACAGATAAAATCGAATCGGTGTTCTGTATAAAGAGATCTTTCATGTTGAGAAAAAAGGGAGAAGAGTCAGAGGAATCGTTGGGAAGGCAAAGAAGAGAAAAACGAGAAGTATGAAGGGAAGAGGATATTATCTCGCGAAACAACCTGAGATGAGCCTTATTACTGATGGGATCAAACAGCCGTCGGGGTGTTAACTGCTCGCACAGTTGAGAGGAGAAGCAGCGAGCAAAAATGGAAATTTGATGTTGTCGGCAGAGAAATGCGTATTTCTCGCATCTCATTCTTGATTTTTTTTCCTTCTTCCGAGTGAAGATCAATATATTATGTAACACATTAGAAGAATTTGTTGTAACGTTTTTTTAAAGAAATTAATTATATTAAAAATTTTTTCCGTTGAATCATGGATCCTATCTTTTACTTTTTTATATATAAAATATTTTTATATATTTATATATTTATATATTTAATATATTTTTTATATATAAAAAGAATGATTTTATTAAAGTCTCTAGAAATTTGTTTAAATACAATTGAGAAAAGCTTCTTTTAAGCTGAAAAAAATTTTTTTGAATCATCAAAATACTTATGTAGAATGTTCAAATTAATTGGTAGAATATTATTGTTAGAAATTGCTAAAGAAATAATATATATTATATAATTTTATGACATGAATCAATGATTTAAATTATTTTTTATATGCTTTATATAATTTGTATGTATGTATGTATGTATGTATGTATGTATGTATGTATGTATGTATGTATGTATGTATGTATGTATGTATGTATGTATGTATGTATGTATGTATGTATGTATGTATGTATGTATGTATGTATGTATGTAGTATGTATGTATGTATGTATGTATGTATGTATGTATGTATGTATGTATGTATGTATGTATGTGTACTACACACACACACACACACACACACACACACACACCATATGATTTATAATAAGCGATATAGTTTATATACTCAGCAATAATGCGAAAATTATATTTATTAAATGAGAAAAATATAATTTTGAATATAAATATATATCCTTTAAATTGATAATTAATCGACAAATAAAAAGTCAAAATCGTTGTATTTGAAGAAAAACTAAATGCCTAAACGCATAAATACAACTCGTTGGAAAACGCAGAAGGAACTCTCCTATGTCAATAATGTGTACGTGTAAATAATCGTTTAGCATCTCGCATTAACAACGGCTTTGAAGCCTTCAATCACGTGTAATCTTGTACCGTAATTTTATGTCGAAAATATAGAAAATAAGGGATATTCACATATCATTTTTCATATTTCTATTGTTATTGTTTTTTTTTTTACATTCAAGCGGAAATACATAGTAGACATGCGTGCAAGTGAGTAAACAGAGAAAATTGTTTACCGTTGATTAACTACATACCCATGAGATAATATGAATTTGCTATAATCTCTCAGGATAATTTTATGCACGGCATTGTATGAATAAAAATATATATTTCAGAAGCTTTCCAATTTTGAGAATTTGCAATATTATTTGAAGCAGGTATATTTCTTTTATTTATATCGAAAGAAAATGCAACATACAATCAATCTTTTATAAGAATAAGAAACATTTAAGATTTAACAAAACTTCAAAATAAATATAAGAAGGAATTTTTTTATTAATATATAAAAAAATATTATTAAATATAAAATATTATTTTTATATAATAAGTTTTAAAATATCTCCTCGAGAGGTTCGTTGTAAAATTAAATACGTTTTCGAAAACCATTATGAATATCGTGACAGTTTAGCGTGCCATTATAAATCTTTAGTGTCACTTTGCTACAGAATTAAAGAAAAGAAAAGAAAAGAAAAGACTCTAATCTTACTTATACTTTTTCTTTAGTATTGAAAAAGAAAAAAAACTTTTTCTGTTTAACAAATTTTATTAATATTTTTGATTTTTTTAATTTTTTTCTGACAGCACATGCTTTTTTAAGCGTACTAAGAATACTAAAGAGTGTCATTAGTCGTACCACGAGTTGGTCACCTCTGTTCTAAATTGTGATTTAATAAAGATATTTATATATGTAATTCAATTTATAAGATTTATGAGAATTAAATTTCTTAATTTACATTTGAAATAAATATTAAATTTTTTACTTTAAGATTCAAAAAGGAAGTTTTCTATTTTAATAGGATTCTATTTTAATAGGATACTATTTTAATAGGATTTTACAATTCTAAGTAGAAGTTAAATAAATGATTTTATGTTTCATATATACAATACACCATATATACAATACATCATATTTGCGAATTTAACTTATGTACTGATAATTAAACCTATTTACATTACATATCCCATAATATATCCCATATTTTTAAATAATTTTTCACAATAGATTTTCAACATATAATAGTCAATGTATTTATCTGAATTAAAATTATCTTGAATAATAAAATGTAATATCAAATTATATCATTATTAAATTTTTTTCAGTATCAAAATACTTCAAACACCGATATTTATTTGTTAAAGATAAATATCATAAGATATAGTAGCTTAACTTAATTTAAAGGACATTCTATAATGAAGTGTAAGATGTTTTTGATATAATTTTTAAGAGTCATGATTGATACATACAGTATTAAAATTTATAGTACATGTGAATAGATTTTCAACATTGACTATTGGAATGTGTATCGAAATACGGCCATGGTATATTACTTGTGTTGTATGGAACAGCAAAAAGAAAATTAAATTAGTTCATTAATTTATTTTATTATTCTTATATACTTCTTCATTACATTGTATATTTGAATTCTATAATATGAATTCTAATATATCTTTATATCTATATACACATCCGCGCGCGCGCGCGCACCACACACACACACACACACACACACACCACACCACACCACACCCTCTCCCCCCACCACACACACCCACAAGTTTCATATTCGCAATGTATCTTTTGTGAACAGGTGAAGCGACCTAAATAGCCAAATCTGCAAACAGATTTTGAGTAAAGACTGCTACCAATATTAATAACAAATTTCACTGTAATATACGATGTCGGTAAATGATTAGAAATACGACAATGATCAGAAATACGACAAAGCCTGCTGGCATAACATATTAGTAGAATTTGTCAACATATTCTGAGTTTAATGCATATAGCTTAATACACAAATTAATACATATAGATTAATGACATAGATTAATTGAATCCGCAGTCAAAATCTAATCGAATTAGCTGTCAATCTTTCAACAAATTGCATTTTGCTATTTAGAAAGTTATATGTTATAAAATTTTGTAATTTTCGCAATAATTAGTGAATTTTAATTTTTAAAAATTTTATGAATGAACGTACGTAGACATAAAGATATAGATCTTGCATCTGATTTCATATGCGCAGCAAAGTGTTTGAAGGAATGATAAAAAAAAACAATTCTCTTATAGTATATGTATTCTTATTGAGACACCTTGTATAACTATCCGCACAAATTATTTCAGTCTTTAGATAATTTTTTTATATTCTAATAATTTTTATAAATATAATTATTCAGAAGGGGACATTCTTTCTTATAAAAAAATTATTTTAACTATATAATAAAAAATTCTTTGATATACCTTGATATACCTGTAGTTAATACAAATATAATAAATTTTTCAATTTAATAAGATAAAATTTATTTTATCTTACATACTAAATTAAAAACGTCAATGTTTGATCTGTATATTTAACATATAAGCTAATTCTAATTGTTTATTATAGATGAGTTTAAAAATGCATATTCAACAAACGTATAATATATTCATGATTAAACGCGCATAATTTTTTTTTAAACTATCTAACGAGTCACCTTATTAGCAAATCGATTTGGAACGTTTTGTTCGGATTTGTCGCGACATACGCATTTTTCAAAATGTAATAATAAAAATTTGAATTCGCTGTACGTTCGTTGTTTCATCTTGCACCTTGAAACTTCAAATTTTCCCTCCTCAAAACCCTCTGACATAGAAGGTCAGTCGGTAAAATTTTTTTGATTCCTTTGAAACTATTATTTGTTCAAAAGAATAAAATGACAATAAAAACAGAAATTTTATTTCAACGCGTTTGACCAATACGAATCAGAAGACAAACAATCTACAATGAATAGTTTTGCGATCACTGAGGGGATGGAAGCAGAGGGAAAGATTGTATAGAAACAGATTGGAAACACTGGAGGGGGTGTTTTGATAGCGGGCGTGACTTGTATTTTGCCGCCTACCTGATATTCGCGTCTCATAAGGCACCTCCTATCGCGTAGGGCGCAGTGGCGGCTGCGTGGTGGGGGGGCGTGGGACGCGTGGAAGGGATGAAAGTAGAGAGGCCGGCAACGAAGACCTTCAGAACACGTTAGTAAACGAGAAGGCGCGCGTCGTTTGTCGTACGGTCTCGGTTCCTTCGTGCCGGCTTTTAATCCCACGCAATTCAACCGATCGCGCGTCGTATTCGCGTTGTTCGCGCACACCCTCCCCCGTCCCCTCTCCTCCGCTCCCCCCCCGTTAACGAGAAGACGTCAACGGTTGTCGTCGCGCGAGGTCGACTCGAGTGTAACGAACGTAACGAAAGCCGGTTCATAACTACGAGATCGGAGCTGTGTCGCGAGCGTGGCGCGTCTTCGCGGGGCCTATCCTTCTCACCCTTGCTCCCCTCTCCGCGCTCTACCATCCCCATCTCCTTTTCTGTGATTTGCCACTTCTCCTTCCGATCAACCGATATCCCTCTTCATCGCCCCCCTCTCCTTTTCATTGTCCGCCCTTCCGTTTCCCTTCCATCTTCGATTCGTCATTATCTTCGTGCTACGAGACCCGTGAGCATCGTCGAGCTTCCACGAACTTCCCTCTGGTGCGTATTACGTCATTTACGTACTTGTACACGTATTTTCGCCCTCACAAGCGTCTCGTACTTCGTAGACATTCATTGTGTGTGTCCGCACTGTTCCCGCGTTAGTTTAGAAACAATTTGAGACAGGTGACCAAGAGAGAGAGAGAGAGAGAGAGAGAGAGAGAGAGAGAGAGAAGAAGAAAGAGCTGAAGAAAAATAAGAAGAAGAAAAGTGCAGCAAAGGTGTAGAGAAATGACAGTTTATTCCATCCGGTTACTTTCCGATTGCTCTTCTACTGTTATTCACGCAGTGTTGTACCTCTGACATTCATCTCTCGCGTATAAGCGTCTTCGACGAGAATCCAATTTCTTCCCGACGGGACTAAACTCGCCCGCGGTGGAACGACATCTCGATTGTGCGCGGGAAAATCTGCCATATTCAAGAATCAGGTATACGCATTGGCGTGAAAAGTCCGAAATCCCGCAGATTTTCGGGCAGCGCGCGCTTCTTAGTTTCGTGTAATCGTCGCGTCGTAAAACAGCCAAAATTCGGGTGAAGGGAGATCCGAAGCCATCCTACGCGATGGACCCGGCCGATGAGCAAGACATGGAGAATTCAGGCGGGGGGCCTAATTGCAGCAATGGAACTAATGGAACAAATGGCACGAATGGTCAGCATCAAACACCGGAAGGATCAATGGTAAGTCATATTTTAGATTACTTAGTAGTGACCCCTAGTGTAGACACTTTTCTTTAGATTCAACTTCCTCCGCTTTCCTCAATTTGTTGCATCGTGAAAGTCATTAGCAAAATTTTTATATTTTATATGATTAACAAGGTAACAACAAAGTGACGCAACAAGATTCATTATTATTTGCATAAATTTCGTAAAGAAACGCGTGCTCAATGTTATTAAAAATTAAGTCAATTGCTCCGTTGGTTATATCTCTTTTTTAATACTAATAGCTTTGATGATCTCTTTGAGATAAAAATATACGGTCTTGTATTTCTGAAAGAATTATCTAATTGGATATGAGTGAGCGTGATTAAAAGCGGGAAGAGAGAGATTAAAAGAGGAAGTAAATTCCAAATACCAAAGAAATGGTCTACTGAACAAAGAAAATTCAAAGAGAAGTAGAATACATAACACAAAATGATTGCCATTTGCAAAGATATAAAAAATAGGCATAATTTATTGTTCACTGTATTTATTCACCGTGTACAATAATGATATCTTAAAATATATTAGACTTCTTACAAATCGAAATTTTATTTTAGTTTTAAAATATTTTTAAATTTTACAAGAAAGAGTAATAAATCACTTAACTTATATGCAATTCAAGCTTATATTTTACGTTCGAAATAAATAGCATACGAAAAGTTTGTTTTACGTCAAGAAAGGAATTTTAAATAGAGCATTTTTTCCTGATTTTTATATGATTAATAGATAGATAGATAGATAATAAAATACTGAAAAAATACAGAAAAGATTAAAAAACAATGGGGAAAAAATTAAAGACACAATTTTAGAAAAATTATTTATTATTATGCATCATTTTACAAACTTATGTATACATATGTACACAATGTCTCACACTAGTTTACATTTGTTTATAATTTTTACAACATTTTACTCTTAATTTTTTCCATTTTTCTTTAATTTTTTATATTTTTCTCATTATCTGAATTATATAAAAATATATTTGTGCGTGAATCGCGGTTCGCGAAATTAAATTTTAATATGAAATCTAATATCCATACGATTTTCAACAGATTGAGTTTAATATCCACGATTATAATCGCGTCGATAGAAATACTGCGGAACTCGATTGTACGGTAAAGCAATATTAGTTTACAAACAACGCCAATTTCATAGCGCGCGTTCACTCGGGGAATGTTTTTCTTCACATCAAATATGTATTTTATGCCCTCGATTATTCTCTTTGTCGTGAACTCGCGTTTCGACGTATTTATAAAAGGTATCCGTCGAAATCTCGGGGAAAAAAAAGAAATACGAAAAAAAACGCGTCCAAACATACGGTCATACTTGTAACTTAGCTGTTATTTGTACATATGTAAATTACACCTCCATTAGTAACCTTTTACTACACATTTAATATAACTACTGATTAGTTTATGTTATTTATATTTATTTATATTCGTAATTATTAATATTAGCGATTTGCATAATATTTTAACCTTGATTTTTATTTACTGAAAAATTGTCGAATTTTATTAGAAAGTTTTAACGACTCGAATAACGCGTGAAAACACATATCAAGGAAAGTGTTTAGTAAAAATAGTGTTTAAATACATACTAAAATTGACGGCGATACCGCTGCCAAGGGACCCGACGTAATTATTATTCGTAACATATACGAACATGTGTCTCTGCAACGAAAAAAAATTTGTACGCTTTAATAGAAATTATGCCGTGTATAATGAAAACTTTCGATTTTCCGACATGTCTAAATCTAATTCTAATTTAGAATTATTCGCAAGCAGCTCGAATGAAAGGAAAATCGGAGTAACAGCAGAACCTAGTATTAAATGTTTCGTGCACGAGGCGAATAATTGCTGTAATTTGTATTAATAGCAGCAATCTATTTGAAAATCTGAAGAAGCACGAATCTGTTCATTACTGATTCGCATCGTGACTTTCCGACGTTAACAAATATTTAAAAGTTAATTGGGTCACGTGCCTCTTATTTTTATTTTTTATTAATTGTTCTTATTATCTGAGGAGATTGAGTATTTAAATGAAAATAACGGATTGAATGAATGAATGAAAAACAGATTGTTTCCTGTTATTTTGTATTTTGTGAGAAAATTAATGATAAGCTGTATAAAAGTTATTTAACAAAATGATTTTATATCTTAATTCTATATCTGAATTTTATATCTAAATAATAAACAAAGAAAAGATGAAACTTGTACTCTCTCGTGCAATCATCTAGTTGAAACATGATCAAAAATAATTAAGGATTTGATTCAAACTTTGATTTATTTTCTAGTGACATTTTCTTATAATTTTAATACATATAAAGAAAAAAAAGGATGATTTATTGACAAGAAATATGAAGTTGATAGCAATATCAAAACTTTTCAAAGTTTAATTCAAAGGTTAGTTCTTTCCTAGTCAATTCTTTTTTAGTCGTGCATACTAATTTTCGCAAACAAAATATTTGATTTCCTGATTTCTTTTCATCTCAGACAAAGATGGATTATAATTTACATACCTTTCTACCTTCAATGCTTATTAATTTTGATTTTGATTTCATTTATTCTTCATCTTTTTCTAATTTCTACCTAAAAATAGGAAGTGAATTAAAAAATTAATTTATACTGATAGAAATGGACATTCAGTTGTTTCATTTTAAAATTATAATCAAAAATTATGAGCAGTCAAAATTCCAAAAAAGATTAACTTCTTTTAAGTCACATACTTATAATTTAGGAAGAGAAGTGAGGGAGAGAGAAAGAAATGGAAAGAGAAAGAAAGAAGGAGAGAGAGAAAGAGAAAGAAGGAGAGGAAATAGAAAATATCAATATCTAATCTTATCTTATTTAGAAGGAATTAATCTAATTCCTGTAATTATTATCTAAATGTAGTCAATCATGCGAGAAAAAGTATAAAAAAGACGGTTCAAATATGTTGTCTCAGTGATAAGATAATCAAACAGTAAAGACAAGTAGTTTTAGCTCTATAATTTCGCAGGT